CTGCACCCGGCACATCGCTACTCTAGAACTGAGGACAGGGACTGGGTCTCCACCATCTGCCCACAGTGTCCCAGTACATCCAGCCCCTTTCTGTCTAATTCCTCAGTCAGCAGGGCATGAAGAGCAAAAGCCTTGATCTAAGGCCTGAGGTTCAAATCTCAGGCTCTCTGCTTACTAGCCATGTGACCTTTTTAGTAAGCTCCTTGAACTTGAGTTTCATCACATGCAAAATACACGTCTTTGGTGAAGTTATAAAAGTTGGAGCTACTGTCTGCAAAGCACTTATCACATGGTTAGCGCTAAACAAAAGGCAGCCGTCATTACTTGTTATCCATTAACAGTCAGAGGTGTGGGCGGCTACTCTGGAACGCATCAAAAAATAAGACGGGTGATGATACCAGGCCGGGCAGTCACGAGATAGCAAATTTAGTAAATTTAGTAAAATGTTCAGCAAATTTAGTAAAATGTTCATTGGAGAACAATCTAGATGGTGGGTATAAGAGTGTTCACAATTCTTCCAACTCTTGTTATGTTTGAAAATGTTCCTAACAAAATGTTGGGAAGAACTAGACAGACTATTTTGACATCGTTCTGCAAAATAAGATTTAAAGGAATGAATTACATTGCTTATCTGGGGTGTTCAGAGCTCCTAATTCTGTTCGATCCAAGTCACTACCTTCTCTGAAGTGTGCTCTCTCCAAGGGGCTCCACAGCATTCTGTGACTTTAGGTAGGTCAGGTGTAGCCCTGGGGGACAGCCACGCATGACTACAGATGAGACCGACATGTGTAAACTCGTACAACATCCTGACTTCTTCCTCTCTCCTCGTCCTCTCTCCTACATCAGTCCATCCTCCAGGTTGCTATCGCGACAGGCATAGTGCTTAGCAGATGGCCGTGGCCGCTCTGCAAACAGGGGTGTGCACACAGCTCCCCGGGACCCTGTCACAAGGCCAGCTTCCATCCAGTAGGCCCAGGCAGAGCCTAAGAGTCCGCGTTTCCAACAAGCTTGCGATGCCTAATGATGCCGACGCAGGGCCACCCTGAGAGCAGCGCAGCCCTGGACCAGGAGTCTCTATGCTCGTCACACCTGAGTATCATCCAGGGAGGACCCGCACTAATCTAGTCAGAATCTCTCGCAGTTGAGAGCTTCCCAGGTGCAGCCCAGGCTGAGAAGGACCCTGTGCTGCATCAGAGCATTTCGCCTCTAACCACCTGGGGCTGGTACCGTAAAACGCGCGCTCCAGGGAAGACCTCGGGATCACGTATCAAATGGATGACCCCCAGCCCCACACTGCCAGCCTGCAGTGGGGCCTGTCTCCTCTCCACTCGGCACCCCTGGCCCTACGCCCAGTCCCGTGGCTCCTGCTCACTGCCACCTGCAACGCGGGAGGAAGGGTGGGGACAGTGCTACCTGTCCTCTGGCACATGTGCCACCACCTCCCCTGGCCACAGACTGTCTGGTCGGTGAGGTTCGATGCAAGCCTGCAGCCTTGGACTCTTTAAGGTTTGCTTTGTTTTAGTTTTACTTTATGTTTAGTTCATTAAATTATGTAATTTATTTATAAATTATAAGTCTATATTTGGAAATTATAAATGTACACAATTGTATTATTTTATGATTACTTTAATGCTTCTCCTTCCCTGTGACGGTTACCAGGAGGGGCCGAGTCTCCGGGTTGGGAAGTGCTCTGGACTCTTGAGAACTGGCCTCAGGACAGTGGCCAAATTCCAGCAAAATGTGCTTTAAGCTCTAAAAAGCCACGGTCCCTTCTCTTACATGGGACACGTTATATCAGATGATCAACTAAGCAGTTTGGGGAGCAAAGGCCACCACAGGCAGGTCAGGCTTTGTAAACATCGAATGGACCCTTCCATGAAAGAGCGAGGGTCTGACCAGTGAACGTGCACTGACACAGACACGAATTTCCACACCTGTCCTCAGAACTTGAGCAGCAGCGTAGACTACACTGAAAAAGAGTCACATCCGGCGTGACAAGGCCTTATCTTCAAGACATTCACTGGTGAAAAACATGCTAGGTTTTGGTTTATATACAAATAAATGGGTTCTGTTCAACTGCCTGTATGTCTTTTTCCGTCTATGGGCGTCTGCCAGACTAGACCGGAGGGAGGGGGCTGCAGCAATTCCAACCCCCGAGGTTGGGCGGGGCAGGCGTGCAGGTCGCACAGGGCTCCTCGGTTTCCTGGTGCGAACTTGGACCGCAGAGGGAGGTACAGTGAAGTCAATCACTCGCTCCCCTGAAAGCACTGATGGCTCTTATATTCCTAGGAGATGGCCAAGTCAAGCCATAATTGGGTTAGGGAAATGCCAGGGACCGGCAAAAGCAATAAACTCTGTCGCTGCTGACAGTCAGACTGCTGAGAGTGAGCAGAAACGGCTCAGGCTCGATGCCCTTGACAAGGCTAAGCCGGAGGGGTTGGGAACATCCTATCGAAAAAGCAGGCCCTGGACTCTCGGACAAGATGCCCATGACCACACTCTGTCTTTTCAGGACAGAAAACAGGGGGCAGCGCAAAGGGGAAAAAGGAAAGGGCTCAAAATCACAGAGAGACAAAGCACAAAATAAGTCTCCTGACTCCAACCCAGAGAGCTATTATAGAAAGGAAATGGAAAAATCCAACTGCCTCTGCAGGGAAAAGATTCGTCTGACATCAGGTGTTACCTAATACGGACATGGAAGTCAGCTTTCTGGGCCTGCCTGGCATCTGCTTTAGAACAGTGCCCACTCTGGGGTAACTCCCACCGCAACCTTGATCCGTGTGACCGACAAGAGGCTGTGCCCCCCACCCCCTGCCCAAGCTCTACAGCGCTCTTCCCTCTGGCCAAGGATGGGCTCAGGGACAGACACAGGACCCAGCAGAGCCACAGAGCTCGGCTCAGGAGCTCTGATGGAACTGTTGGGAAGAGGCCCCCTCCTTCAAATAGGGGCATGGGGCTGAGTGGCCCTAAGCCTAGAGCTACTCAGGGGCCCATCCAGCCACGGGCTGGGAAAGGCCCAGGAAAAAGAGACCACAGAAGGCAGGGACAGATCGCTGCCAACCTCCTCTAGCCATCCAGACCAACTGCGCCTGAAAGTAAGGACTTTGCAGGTATGTGGGCAATAAATTCCTTTTTTGACTTGAGCCAGTCTGAGAAGAGTTTCCGTCACTTGCAAATGAAGAACAATCCTGATTAATGCTGTCTTCCCCCAAATAAAGCCTGTTTTCAAGTTTTCCTTATCAGTAAAGTTGAGATCATCTAAGTCGGCATGTGATTCAATGCCCTACCAACGTAATTTTGCAGTTGTCCCCCACGAGACTTCTAAGGAGACTGCCAGGCATAGGCCTTGGGAAGGACAGGCTGGCCGGTGCCTCCTCTCGCCTCTCGCTGAGCCCTGACCACCAGTCCCCTCTGCAGAACTCAGCCACAGCACGGCTCTCAGATGGGGGATCCAGAAAAGCCCCCGCTGGGTGGGCCCCAGGACCACCCCTCGATTCACCCCTGAGCAGCCTCCCTGCATCCAGGCTCTTCACCGACCGTCACAAGGGCTGCCGTTAATCCTGGCTGATGCAAGTCTTCCAGACAATAAAGACAGCGAGGCCGGCCCAAAACTGCAATGTGAACTAACACACCAGCCAGATACTCTGGCTTTTAATGGACATCAAAGCAACCCAGGGCACTCTGATATTCTTAGAACAAAAGTCATGATCATAAAATTGCAGAGGCAGCCTACGAGGAGTGCTGAAGTAGGCCTGGGCTCTGTCCCTGCCCTGCCCCTACCCAGGGGAGCTGACCCCCTTCTTATCCTCTCCAGGTCCACTCCCCCACCTGCCACTGGAACATGGCACTGGCCTTCTACTCTCGGCCACGGAGGTTTCCCAAGCACCCTCACACCCTCCATGGATTTATGCTCACAACAATACCCTGAACTCTTGCTCTGGGAATGGAGCAGGCATGGTGCCCTTTTTATATGGTTTGGTGGGTACGGCACAGGTCTGGAGCCAGTCCCAGATAGCTCTGCCGTCGCCAGCCTGCAACCCTGACCTCCAGGTCTCTGTCTCTCACCTGTAAAAGTGGTGAGTGGTGCCCACCTCAGAGGGGTGACTGGGAACAGAGAATGGCTGCAAAGAACTTAGCAGCACTGTGTCTAGCAGGCAGTAAGGGCTCCATAATGTTAGCAATTATTATCATTTTTGCAAGTGGGGAACCTGAGTCTCTAAAAATTCCTTCCAAAGGCTCAGATTTGGGCCCCTCGGCAGCAGTCCTTACTGAGCATGAGAGCTGTCAGGAAATAAGGGGTACCACCTCAACCAAAGACTGATTACCACCCAGGGGCAGGGAGGGGTGAAGGGGAAAGGGGGTGTGCTGCTCTGCCAGCCCACAGGCCACACCCAGGAGGACCCGATTGCTTTCTCTGCCCCACCCGGCACCCAGCCCCTTTCAGTGCTTTGTGACCTTTTCATCTGGGTTGGTTATGTTGAACTCAAGTCAACATCTCGATAAACAAAGCCAGTTGCCCTAGAGTACCACGCTAATCTCTTGGCAGAAATGCAGTTCTTCAAGGCCAAACCCATGCAGGGTGGCATGAGAGCCCCGGGATTTGAAGCAACCGTAAAATAGGCAGATAGACTCAGATTTCCTGGGTCCAAATCCTGGCCCTCTACTTCCTCGCTCTGTAACTTATCCAAGCAAAGTTTATTCTATAAACATAGTTTCTATTTCCTAGGATCCAATGTGTGGACATGTATAAAGCTCTTAACCAGTGCCCGGAACACACACAAGCCCGGTAAGGGTGCAAGGCTCAGCCGGTCCCATCACTGGGGGATACCTGCTCGGTGGTCTGAGCAAGCCCCTCTTCTTTCTCCTCCTTTGGGCCCTGGACTCCTTGCCTGGCCATGCCAAAGGCTGCTCTCTGCTTGTCACAAAGCCACAGGGACTCCCCAAAGGCTATCATAATTTTATACGCCTGGCTTCAAGGCCTACTCTGCAAGCATCCTTACCGGTAAGTGGCCACCTCCCGGCTGAGGCTGGTCTTCACCTGCAGGAGCTCCTGATAGTCTCGCAGCCGGTCAGCCATGGCCAAGGTGAGGTTCTCCTTCTCATCCTCCAGGCAGTCAATCACTCTCTAAAGAGAACAGAGAGGCTTTTAGATCAGAGAAGTGGAGCTTTACTGGGTCACGAACTTCAGGTACGAACAGTTCAGGGTTGAGATGAAAAACCCCCAGACTTACAAAACATGCAGTCATTTGCAATAATGGTTTCAACAACTGTATCTCTTCCATATGGAAGATATTATTTCATTGCATGTGGAAGACTGTGATAGGACACTGGCTTCTCTGTTCAGATTCTCTAATAATAATAACAAATACTTAGCAGTTTATTCAAATCATCTCTACAGTTCAGACATCAGTCCATTTGGGAAAGCCAATACATCAAACCAGTCAAGATGCTACTGAAAATAAGCCATGACTAGATAGAAATCAGAGGCTTTGAAACAGAAGTCACTCAGATTTGAAGTAGAATGTCCCCCCAAAGTCATGATTTCCCTGACAACAAGCAGGTAAACTGATACAGAGTTCCAGCCGGGTGTGGTGGCTCACGCCTGTAATCCTAGC